CCCCCCCCCCCCCCCGCTCCACCCTTCCGAGATGCTCCCCGCCCCGTGGCCTTTGGAGCTGGCGCAGACCCGCGAGCCCTGGCACTTTCCCTTTTCCCGGGTCACCTCCGCTTCCTGCCTGGCCCCCTCTTTGCTTGGCTCTGGTCCCCGCCCCTTCTTTCAAGACCCCTCCCGCCCTGGTCGGGAGACTCCGCCGCGAGGAGGCCCTCCAGGCTCTCGCCCGCGCCTGGCTCGGTCCTCGCGGGACAGAGGGGCCCCTTCCCAGGCCTCTAGCTAGGTCGGGGTAGCCGAGCCTCCGCCCCTCATCCCGGTGGGCTGGACGCTGGGTGCCGATTGGCTCTTGCAAGAGCCTATCAGCATGAGTGATGGCCGGGGCGGGGGCAAGCTGGGGCCGCGCTGGGGAAGCTCTCTCCCCGTCTGGGTGCTGCAGAGCTGATCCAGGTCCTCCCGCCCCCAGGCCTAAGATGCGCTGCGCTGCTCTCCATCTCTGATGTGTCAGTGCCAGAATCATAAGAATGAAAAAGCCTCAGCAGCGGGCTGGCAGAGGCCGGAAACACCGCACTTCCTTTTCGTTTTAATTGAGAAAAATTCAGGCGGCGACCGACCATGTGACGTGCCCCATTTTGTTTCCCTCCTGTCTTTACTACGGTTTACTACGACGCCTCCTCCGTTCCTTCATCTTCCCATCTCCAGTCTGCAAGCAGGAGCGCGCGGCAGGCAGCACGTGGCCTGGGGTTGCTAGGGCTGGCTCGCGGTTCCCACGTTTATGTCTCTTGCTGAAAGGGAGGAGCAATCACGAGCCTTGCTAACCCCCTTTGCCTTTTAAGAGCTCCAGGCCCTTTCCAGTCACTAACAATACGCACTTGATTCAGCACCTGCGGTTAACAACGCACCTGAGCTGGATAAGATCAAAGAAAACTGGTCCGGGATCCCCATTTCCCTTGTGAGGGAACTCAAGAGTGTGGGCTACAGAATCCTTAGAAACGCTTGAAGAGTACAGTCTGCTCTTTTACCAACACTGTGAGGGAGAGTGCTTGTGTTTTTCAAACATTAAGTTTTGGCCTGTGAAATCCCACCAGGGCATCCGAGGGTGATTTTTAAGGCTGGTTCTAATTGCACTGCGCACCCATAGCAAAATTTCATGAGTATGGGAATGGAAAAGGTACTAAAGAAAGAAAATAAATCTATAAAAGTATCTTCTTTCCCTCCTCTCAGAAGTGTTTCTCAGCAGCCAGCATCCTTCTCTGTCACTCTCATAAGTCACAGAGGTAGCGTTTTGTTTGTTTTTCCCCTGAGGTGCCCATGGAAGAAGCACTGTTGAAAATCAATGTGAGGACAGCTCAGGTATGAAAGGACTCCAGTTTCCTTGAAAGCAGCGGGAAAGAGTTACTACAGCACCCAACTTTTTATTTTCTGCCATTGTTTAGGTTGCTTATGTTTTTAAAGCGATATCTCTCTATAATAACCGTTTGTTTGAACACCTCTAGTATTGTCCTACAAGAAAGACTTGAGCTCCGAGAAGCATGCTTCTTCTTCTTTTTTTTTTTAATCTTTTTTTTCCAGTTTATCAAAATTCCTGGAAAATCACTTTGTGCTATCTTGAATGATGCAATGGAAAAAAGCTGCTCCCAGGAGTAAGCACTTGAATTTTAGCCTCGTGACCTTGATCAAGTCACTTCATTTCCTTGGGTCTGTTTCCTCATTAGTAACTGGAGACTTTTGTTCCACATTGTTCTAACCTTCTTTGCAGCTCTAAACATGGGGATGGTTTGGAGCAAATGACTGATACCCTTTAATGAGTCATTTGTTCTGAGTGTTTTTCCTCCAAAAGCTAAAGCTGGGGCCATAGCAGAGTACACTGGGATGTCCTCATTTCTTCTCTTTTTACCATGTGTCAGATCCTCTGTCT